AGTGGGTTTAGGGTTTAGGATTTTAGCGTCTAAGGTTTAGGGTTTAGGGGTTTAGGGTTCAGGGTGTAGCTGTGACCTTAATTGCCTACAGCTTCACAATCTCTACCCCCTCTCTACCCCCTAATTGGTAGGTATGGCCCAGAACCTGTATAGGTAATTGGGGCTGCGGAAAGGGGTTGGGTGGGGGCTGGGGGTAGGATTTAGGTTTGGGTTAGGTCAATCCCCCCTGTAGTAATAGCTCTTTAATATATGGAGTGACTAGAGCCTTAATATACCTACCCTTAAATACAATAATCTCTATTGGTACCCATTACTGGGTGGGGGATTGACCCAAGGTTTGGGGTTCACGGGTTCAGGTGCAGTTCTTGGGAAGCAGCAGCTTTTTCTGGCTTGGGGCTACATGACGGAGAAGCTCCCACTTTGCACTGTTGCGTAAAACGGTTTAGGGGTTAGGGTTTAGGGTTTAGGGGTTAGGGTTTAGGGTTTAGGGAATTGGTGCCATGCTCGCATCTTATCCAGCTTAGTAAGTTGTATAGACCTGGAACGCCAGAGCCTGGAGCACTGAACCCCTGACACGATGATAAGCCACACACCTTCAAAGACCAACAGCTACCACCACAACCCGAAACCCTAAACCCTAACCCTAAACCCCTAAACCCTGAATCCTTTGAAGGGGGATACAAGGATTATATAGGGATATTATAGGGATGTACCCGAATTCTGTAGCCAAACACGGAGACTCGCAAGCGGCCCCCGGCCACTTCCGGCCTCCACAACTCCTGGGAAAGTGGGTGCGAAATCGTGGCCAGCCTAGGCATGGGAACCAAGCACGAAGATATCACATGTAGGGATTTAGACAGTTTGGGGCTTAGGGTTTGGGGTTTAGGGTTTTTTTTTTGGGGGGGGGTTGGGGTTAAGGGATTGCGGTATAAGGATGAGGGTTCTGGGATTACGTATGCAGGCTTTGGGGATTATGTAGGGAAAGGATCTGGGCGCGAAGGCTTCTCAAAAAGCTGGCCCTTCACGACCATCGTAAGAGAGGGGTAGGACAACCAGGTCCAGAATTCATGGCCAGCATGTTCCGTATTTCAAGCAAGAGAAGCCCCTCTGCCCAAAACATGCGAAGCTGCAGCCCAAATTCTGCCCGCCATATAAGCTATAGTCTGAACTCCTGGTATCCTTCTTAAAAAACCCTATAGTAGTCCCCTATATAACCCCTATACAACACCTTTAAGGAGTTTAGATCATGGCTCATATAAGCGCTTCTAGGGCTAGGGGTTTGGTGTTACAGGTTTAGCGCTCATTGGGATATGCATGGAAACTGATCATTCCTGAAAATAAGAGCCAAAGGCAACCCTCCCTGTACCCTCAATCCTAATTAATGCCCATCAGCCCCATATCCTAGAGGTATTCAAATGCGCGGAATAGGTTCGGAAAGCTGGCTGGAAATACCTATCTTATGCCAAAAGCCTAAACGCTCAACGCCAACACCCCAATCCCTTCGCGGGGCGCTGGCAAGGATTCCGTGGGGGCGCAGACGGGGCCAAAAGACCTGGGCACTGCGCTGCGTCGTCATCGGGTTCAGAACGTAGGGGTGCAGGATCCGTGGGGTATTGGGTCTTGGCAGTACGGATTGGAGCTTGGGATTCTGGGATTCGGAGTTTCGGATTTATCCAGATTGTAGAGCTTGGGGTTAAGGTCTTCAGGATTTAGGACTCAAGGTCCAAGTAAGAAAAGCAGCTTAAGGAGGGGACCTTAAAGAAAGGTCCTTGCATCCGGGTCTCGTAGGAGGGATGCAATTCTTTGGGGTTGCGTCAGGGACTGCTAGGCGTTGCGAAGCCCATTCAACCATGAAAGCCTAAACCCTAAACTCTAAGCCCTAAACCCTAAACCCTAAACCCCTAAATAAAAAGCCTCTCCAGGTGGCCGAGAAGCTTCTATGATTACATACGGGATAATGGAAAAGAAAATGGAAACTACCATTTAGTGTTTATAGGGGTATAGGATGGTATAGGGTATAGGGTTTAGGGTTTAAGGGTCCCTTTAAAGGGTTATTAGGGGGATACTGGAAAATTGGAAGCCACTATTTAAGGTTTAGGGGTATAGAGTCCCCATTAATTAAGTAGATAGAATATGGGGTATGCGAGGATCTTAAATTTCTATGATTACGTTAAGAACTTGGAGAATCAGCGTGACGAGTAGCCCTCCATGCTCCTGCATTTTATGGGTCCCCCCATATTAACCCTCGAGGTTCCCCCTTAGTTGACATTCATTAGCCTCAACTATCCTTAAACAATCTTGATTCAAGGGGCGTAGCATAATCAGGGGTAATAGGGGAAGTCTTGATTAGTTTGCAATCCCAAGCCCGCCCAAACCAGCACATGACACCGAAGTCCGAACTCCAAGCCGCATTCTCGTGCCCGCAAAAATCCGTATTTCATATATAAGCTCCTATATTCCCTCCGCCCATCCCCCTAAAGCACCCTAAAGCCTTAAATCTAAACAGCATAGTAATTCACATTTCCCTTATCCACTCTCCCACTCTCCCTGAATCCTGAGCCCTAAACCCTTTAAGTTCCAGCTACACCATGAACCCAAGATCCCTAAACCCTAAACCTTAAAACCCTAAAACCCTAAATGCCTCCCCCTGTCTCCACCCCGCCTCGATATCCTTGCGCACGCTCGCATAGCGGTGGTCGCCATCAAGGAAGACAAAGTCGAGATCATCCCTGCTGGGCGGCCCGAAGAATGTTTAAGGGTTTAGGGCTTAGGGGTTTAGGGTTTAGGGTTAAGGGTTTACGGTTTAAGGTTCAAGGACCCAAATAATAGCCCATTATTTGGGTCCTTGGACCCTTTCGGTAAGAGTTTAGGGTTCTCCTAAGTCCCCTCGTACAACACCCACCTAAGGTTCCCCCTTAGCTAACCTTCATACATGGGAGCTTTCTAAAATTAGGGGTACCTTTGTTGGGGGTCCCCATAATTTAATAAGGATTATAGTATATTGGGATGTATATTGGAGACCCCTTATTCTGGGAAACTAATACATCCTAAGAAACGGAGAAACTTTTGGCTTCGCTAGTATAGCCAGCGTCGATACCGGAACCCGCTATAAGCCCTCGACCAACAACAAAATCGTTCCTAAGCTTAAGGGTACAGTCATGGGATGACGTTAAACTATCCCAAAAGGTCCATGGACCCAATAATTAGGTACTTGGGTTTTGCGTAATGGTAATTATAGTATGGGTTGTGGGTAAATATATGATTATTAGGTACCTGGACCCTTAGGGTATAGTACACGATGGAGAATTCTGCCATTACTATACTATAGTCACACGAGTCCGATGGTAGCCTCAAATCCTATCAATTATTATGAGTAGAGTAGAGGAGGTCTTGCACAACCTTTTGCATGTCGTACCCTAGGAACTATAGTATCCTACATGGTTGCAAGGTTTCCTCCATCAACATACAGTCCCCCTTAAGTAGATAGAATATGGGGTATATGGGGATCTTATTAAAATATACCCAAAGCCATAATCTATCTACTTGAAGGGGGCTGTATGCCTTGAATCCTCGACTCCGCAAAGCTCTGCGCAGCAGACTTCACTCCCGTCCCTACTTGCTTCCTTGCTGGGACAAATTCTGGGAATGAGCAGAAATCCTAAGTTACTCTAAGGGTCCCAGGACCAAAATAATAGGGTGTTATGGCCCAATTACCAGAAATATTATAGTATTTGGGCTCTACAACCCAATCATTTGGGTACTTGGACCCTCAGGGATAGGTACGGGTTGAGAGTTGAAAGGATCATCAGCGGAAAAGATTACCAACCTACTCTGGTCCCATGCGAGAGTCCTGACATGCTTTTGCCGTAACACCAAAACTCAGGCTCCCCCCTAGACCCTAAACCCTTGAGGGTTTATAGTCCCCCTTCAGTAGATAGAATATGGCTTTGGGCATATAAGAATAAGATCCCCATATACCCCATATTCTATCTACTTAAGGGGAATTATAGGGTGGAAACTCCGCTCACCCATTTGCCCACACAAGGGTTTCAGGTTTTTGCGCACCCGATACTTTGGCCGAAACACGAGAGATTCCCGTCGAAGCCCCCTACACTCCTTCTATACCACCTCATACAATAGGGTTTGACGTTTCGCATTTTCCCCGCAAAGCGGGACATTTTCTTTAGAGGGACCTGCCCTGAGCATGCGAATCTAGGCATGGTGACGCGCATCACCCTCAAAGCCCATCATCACTCAAAGTTCTCCCTGGCAGAAAGTAGAATTTCAGCTGGCTTTTAGCAGAGATTACAGACTGTTGTCAGGGAACTTGCAGATTATACTACTCTAGCAGAAATACGCGTAACCCCGATTTCCTCAAGTTCTATCAGTTACACCCACTACTCAGGGGGGGACTACTACTAAAACTGTAGGTACTTAGGGTCACAGGTCAACCTCGCATTGCCTTACAGCGGTGGTATGACAACATCCATCGTGCGGTAAGCCAGTCTCCGTAAGGGGTATCCTCAAACAATGCAGGGGTCTAAGGAGCCAAAATCAGGCTTCACTAAAAAGGTGGGGAATCAGATGGACATCAGACCCTACACCCAAAACCCTAAACCCAAAACCAAAAATCCCCAAACCCTGAAACCCCTAACCGCCCCTAAACCCCAGACCCCAAACGCTAGACCCCAAACGCTAAACCGTAAATCCCTAAACCTTAAACCCCCCAAACACCAGACCCCGAACCCTAAACCCCTAAATCCCTAAACCCCTGAACCCCAGACCCCAAACCCTAGACCCTAAATCCCTCAACCCCTAAAACCAGACCCCAAACCCTAGACCCCAAACCCTAAATCCCTAAACCCCTAAACCAGACCCCAAACCTTAGACCCCAAATCCTAAATCCCTCAACCCCTAAACCAGACCCCAAACCCTAGACCCTAAACCCCTAAATCCCTAAACCCCTAAACCTCAGACCCCCAGACCCTAAATCCCTAAACCCCTAATTCGTGCCTCAGCCAGGAAAGCGACTCTGAGCTCTGAAGTGCGAAGGTCGCCCGGAGCCGGTAGGCTTGAGTGGCCCTGGCTGGTGATTTTGGGGGATTTAGGATTTAGGGTTTAGGATGTAGGGTTTGGGGTTTAGGGTTTAGGATGTAGCGCTTGGAGTTTAGGGTTTAGGGTTTGGGGTTCAGGGATTACGGTTTAGAGTTTGGGGTTTAGGGTTTTGGGTTTAGGGTTTTGGGTTTTGGGGGGATGCCAAAGCTTAGCCGTCCCTTTGTGGGTTATATTGGATGTATAAATTTCCCAAATACAAAGTGTGAATACGAATACGTATATATGAAGAGGTAAAAGTATAAAGACATGTGGGTTTTTTGCTAGGGCCATGCACGCGAGTCTGCGCGCTTTGGCGTCTTCCCAAGAACAGCAGGGTCTCTCAGCTCTCGGGCTATGAGGGCGTATTTATGATGTGGTCCTAGGGCGGGGTGGTCTAGGGAAAAGGTTTCCGGGAAGTATTGTTTGGACATGACTTCCAACCAGTATGGAAACTGCATCCCTCTACGTCGACCCTGGTGTAGTATGCGATCTTTGTGAGCCGAGCTGAACACTACTGGATGATGTACTTCGCTTCTAGGGGAATTAAAGACCTCATACATCATTTTGAAATGCGCTACACTAATTAATACAGACGGGAGTTTAGGGCGAGCAGCTCTGTTATATTCTGTGTTGGGGATTCTGGAGTAGTAAGAAGCTTTTATGCCTACAATTCTGCGCAAGAATCTAATGTAATACGCATCGATTCTGGTGATCTGCGGAGTGGCCAGTGTGAATGAGTCCAGTCCATAGATGAATGTTGGAACAAAGACGGACTGAAATATGCACAACTTGGTGCGAACCCTCAGCGCTATTCCATACCAATCTAAGCTTCTTGTACGCTTCTTCCGCCAGGCCGGCCCTGTTCTTGAAAGCTACATGGAAAGACTTTTTCCAGGTAACTAGACTACCCAAGTATTTGACTACCTCCTTAGTTGGGACTTGAGAGCCGTTTAGGAAGTGGAGAGCGGGGTGGTCGTGGGGTCGGACCAGAAGCTCCGTCTTAATGGTATTGAGGTGCATGCCGTACTCCAAAGCAATACGTTCCAAGTGTGTAAGCATGGCCTTTGGGCCGAGGCACACTCTCGGAATGGTCTGCCTCACATCTGTGGCCCGTGCTTCTTCGCTGAGCCGCAATGGCCGTGCTTGCACCGTTTAACCTTGATTTCCTCGGTCTTAGGAAGCTCGGCCTCCCACAACCGGGCAACATCCGCAGAAGCCTCTGGGACCGCTTGTGCGGCCTGCGGTGTGCCAGCTGCGCTGCCCTTGGCACCCACAGCCAAGGGAGGCAGCTGTGACGCAGTGTGGCGCGGCCCCTTAAGTGGACCTGGCTTCAAAGGCCCTAGAGGGTGCTGCCACATCGCGTCGCGGGTTGCGAGCTAGTAACCCAAATTCCAACTACAATTCTAGCTAGAACTCAATTAAATGGCTCCTGGGACTTGGGGACCTAGGTGGCTACAAGTTGGTTGGAGGTACAGGTGTAGGTAGGTTCTGATTACGCCGAACCGCCAAGTTCTCCCCAAGATGCAATGCCTCCCCACCGCTGAAGTTACCATATTGGAGGCGCACGTAATTCCAGGAGGCAGGGGGACGTTAAGTAGCAGAGTTGGAGAGGATCAATCCCTTTAAGTGGATTTTGTCCGGGAAGACACATTTGGAGAGATGCAGGAAATGCCGGGGCATCAAGGGCATGGAATGACAAGAAATGCTAAACCTGCATTGATGGACGTCATGCAAGAGCTCCACGGACTAGACAACTTACTCATCTGCGTACCGCCCACATAGGTTTCATGGCTACATCGGCTTTACAGGGAGGTTTCCATAAATAGGAGGACAAAACTTAGACTCCAATAGGGTTCAATATACTTTACTTAATCCTTTTTGTATGGACTGCTGGAACGGCCCCCATTTTTGTGGAAATCCACCCATATCCGGGAATTTTACGGTTAGCCAAAATGGCTACGACATTTAGGGGTTTAGGATCCCTTTACAGGGGTGGACGACGAGGGTTCAGGGTCCCAGGATTGCGGTCCGTTTTGCGGCGTGCCTCTAACATTGTGGCAGTTTGGGGTACATGAGCATATTCTCTTTTTGGAGGTGCCAAGTCAGCAGCAAGTAGAAACACGAAACCGTACAGCCAAAGCGAGAAAGCTGGAACATCAGGATCCTCCTGCCCCAAGGGCTAGCAAAAAGGTGAAAACAAACCTTAAACCCTACACCCTACACCTCTAAACCTTAAACCCGTTCCAATTTCTCTGGCCTTTCTCGTGGATCCTGCGAACGGTGCATCCTCAAACTCCTCCGTCCAACCCCTTGTCGTACAAATCTGTGTTTAAGGCTTTGGGTTTAGGAGTTTTAGGGTTTTGGGGTTTTAGGGTCCGAAGGGGTTTAGGGTGTGGTGTTTAGGGTTTTGGGTCTAAGGTTTAGGGGTTTAGGGTTTAGGCGCCTCAGCCCTGAAAGGCTCACCGGGACCTTTCAGTATGGTTCCTTTATGGGCTGGGTACGTTTGCCGCGGAGTGGGCTCCCTTGTAGGGACATAAACCTCCATAATCTCCAGATATGGGTACGGTCCCCAAAGACCCGGTCTGTTGAGAAACCCCAAACCCTAAGCCCTAATCTCTAAATTGTATCTAAGCTAGTCGAAATTCCTAGTATCCCCCTTCGAAGGCCCCTATGGTCGTCGCCTATATAAACCCCCTTTGAGGAATTTAGACTATGGCTCGTATTCCTAGTCCTATATCTGCTCATACAATCACCTAACCCCGCCCCGGTATCTCCTTTGGCCCTGAAACCTCTAGGGTTAAGGGTTAAGGGTTTAGGGTTTAGAGGTGTGGGGTTTAGGGTTGTAGGGTTGTAGGGTTTTAGGGTTTAGGGAACCCTGAGCCCTCACTTGGATAGCTCAAACTGCCAGCTGCGCTTGGTGGCTGCGGAGAAGGTAGATCGTGAGGACACATAGAATTCCTCCGGTTCAGGTGGTTCGCTTTTTCCTTTCAGTTTGGGACATTCGGCTTAGGGGCAGGGGTGGCAAACGTCCATGAGGAGCAGGGTTGATGGCGTAGAGTTTGGGACGACTGGCTACAGTGAGCCTTTACTTCGTGGTTCTCAGTAGGACATGGCGGCTGCCAGGCCCTAAACCCTAAACCCTCTAACTGCTATCTCCAACCCCAGGACGTGCACCCATATCCTCTTGTAAAGGCAGCCGCAGGGGAGTCTGCTACACTTCCCATAACTACCTGAAGTACCACTGCACCCATTTTTGGAACCCGAATAACAAGCAGAACAAACAATTCACCCTAAACCCTAAACCCTAAACCCTAAACCCTATACCTTGCAAGGTCTGGCTCCCAATTGGCTGGCTTCCTGGCTACCCGGTAGTTTCTTCAGTGCTTGCAACTGATAGCTCTGTCCCTGACTTTCATCAATCTCTTCTCCTTTGTATCTAACATCCCCAACCTGTGAATTCTAGATATCCCTCGTAGCACATATGTGGATTGGCGACCTTACTTCATTTCGGGCTGGCGGTGGGGAGGGGGGCTGTGTGCTTTTAGACCAAGAGGATACGATTGCCTGAGTAGTGTGTTTTCGTTTCTGAAGTGCTTCGCCGCCCCGCGGTAAACATGTTCTTTTGCAGAGCTTAGTGTTTGGAACCCAAAGACCGAACTGGTCCCCCCCGGCGGACTAACAGCAACATGACTTATAGTCTAAACTCCTAGTATCCCCCTTAGTAACCCGTATAATCCTCCCCTAGATGACCCCCTTTAAGGAGTTTAGACTATAGCTCAGATAACTTGGAAAGGCTGCCAGGTAAGCCCTCGAAAGATAGGGGTCAGTAGCAGCACCTCACCTTGAAAACAAAGCTCTCCCCCTCCAAATTAACATGAAATTCCTTTTTCGTAGGGCTGTACAAGGACAATGAGGGAGATATAGAGAGAGAGACAGAGAGAGAGACGTATATCATTTATAATGTATTATGTATGGAATATCTATGGGCTTAGATAGGAGGTATCGACGATGAAGATCTCATATTCGCCTAAAGAAACGCAGAATCTCCTTTACACGGACAGCTGTCTCCCTAAACAATAGCCCCTCAACCCTAAACCCCTAAGCCCCTAAGCCCGAAACCCATTGTGGGGAACTTGTCCTACCTCGAACTGTTGATGCTTCTCGGTGTGATTCTCCGTATGTAGGTGATAACTCAGCGGGTTGGTGTTTAGGGTTGAAGGCTAGGTAGGTATAGCGTCTAGGGTTTAGGGTGAGGTAGGTATAGTAATGGTGCAGGGTTTAGGGCTGAACCGTTTAGGGTTTAGAGTTAAGGCTTGCGGTTCCGGGTCTTGGAGTACTGGTTTAGTGTACAGGGCTTAGGGACTTAGGGTCCAGGATCTAATGCTGCTATAAGGTTTCATACTGGAGATTCTCGAAATACAGGACCCTTGGGAAGCAATATTGAACAACTTCTGCGTTGTATTCTGTAATAAGAGGAAGCTATGTGAGAGGCTTTGGGAAAATCAAAAATGGAGAGTCAGATGGAGCAGAAATGAACCATAAAGTGGAAACTGGATTTCTGTGAGGTCTGTAGGGGTAACTGTGAACATCAACAGTACGAGATTTCTCGCCGCCACAGCCAACAAAAAACTAAGACCCTTTACCCATCAAATGACGATGATGGGATCCTCACGTTGGGGTGGGGTACCAACATCTCATTGCAAAGACTGAACCTTAAACCCTGAATGCTGAACCCTCATCCCTTAACCCATGAACATGAAACCCTCAACCCCAAGCCCTAAACCCTAAACCCTAAATCCTAAACCCTAACCCCCAAGCCCCTAAACCCCTAAACATTGAACCCTCAACCCTAAGCCCTAAATCCTAAACCCCTAAACCCCTAAACATGAAACCCTCAACCCTAAGCCCTAAATCCTAAGTCCTAAATCCTAAGTCCTAAACCCCTAAACCCCTAAACATGAAAACCTCAACCCTAAGCCCTAAATCCTAAACCCATAAACCCCTAAGCATGAAACCCTCAACCCTAAGCCCCAAATCCTAAACCCTAAATCCTAAACCCTAACCCCTAAACCCCTAAACCCTAAACATGAAACCCTCGACCTAAGACCTAAACAGTAAGGTGGGTTAGGGAGTGGCTTGCCGGCAGCTGCCTATTGCGGCTATCGCGAGACGACTCTATACTCCTTATGCAGTGTCCTAAAGTTAGGGCTTGGGGTTTAGGGCTTAGGGTTTAGGGTTTAGGATTTAGGGCTTAGGGTTGAGGGTTTCATGCTTAGGGGTTTAGGGGTTAGGGCTTAGGAAACCAGACAGGTAGAGTTTAGGGCTACGTATTGGGTGCGCGGTTTAAAGCTCAGGGTTTTGTGTATACCTCATAACATGGAGAACGCTGAGGTGCATGCACTCAACAATTGAAGTCTGATCCTGCAGATATCCCACATGCAAGCTTCTTAAAACATGCATAATCTACAGAGTCTTGAAGGAACCATCGGTCATCACACCTCCTTAAAATCCCCAACTGCCCCTACAGGTTTTTCTTCCGTCTACTCCCTGAATCCTTTGACGTTTCCAACCCCTAAACCCTAAACCCTGATATCCCTAAACCTAAACCCAAAATTCTCCAAATTGCAAGAGCCCCAAAATTGATTCATATGTGTGCTGAGACCCTGGCGGATCCACAAGGAGGAGCCTCACCAAGGAAGGGTTTAGGGTTTAGTTAGGGTCCAGTGTTTAGGGTGTGGTCGCGGTAGTGATTCAAAAAGTACTGGAATAGTAGCACTGATAGGCATAGGAGTAGGAATAGTGGCAATAACAGAGCAGTAGCTGTTGCGGTAAAGGTAGAAGTATATTTCTGGGTTTAGGGTTGGGCTGTGTTCTTTAATCTTTCTCTCAAGAAGAGGTTTGGGTTCTGGAGATTCGAGTTTAGAGCTTGGATTTGGGCCAGAGAATAGCTCTTGTAGGCGCGTGTTGCATTTAAAGCAGATGAGGATCTTAAAGGGATCATCCTTTTACGCGATGTTAGGGTGGCAGACATGGTCGCGGTGGTGAATGATAGGAGTGGCAGTTTCAGTACACCTTTTTGTTCACCTGACCTTACCGCTGTTTGACTTTACACGGTTAGTATTAATTGAGGAGATAAGGAGTTGGTGTTCAGAATTTGATTTTGCCATTACATCAAGGCGAGGTATCCAAAAGCAGGGCCCTAATATGGGTTTAGGGCCCCAATATGGGTTTAGGGTTTCGGGTTTAGGGTAGACACCAGAACAAGCAAATCCTCGATATAGGTCCCTGAAAAAAGGGCCCCTGGATCTCTGCTGGATCTGAAATTAATCTTTCCTGCTAGGAAAAGAGGATGGTAATCCCTTCCCCCTCTACCTGGGAGCCCTGCCCCGGAGCTGCAGCAGTCATGTTTAGCACGCCGTATTGCAATACTGGGAGGCCAAACCCAAAGAGCCGAATGTACCTCATATGCAGGAAGATACCTTACTCATATGATACTGGGCTCTTCATTTTGTTTGAGGATCATCCATCAACCAACGTCAATCCTATATCTGGAGGCCGAAGACCCAGATGTCCCGCCGAAGCCTATGAAGCTCCACGAAATCTTGGGGTTTCCCAAAATTAGGGGTGCCTTTTTGGGGTCCCTAAAACGAGGATTAAGGTGTTTTGGGGTCTTTAAAAGGGTACCCCTACTATGGAAGCTACCATACTCCTTAATTGAAGGGTATTGCTTTGGAGGACCCCCCACCCTTTAATAGTGGTATAATAGGAATATAATAGGACCCTAGTATAATCCTTTTTATCCCTTATAGCCACTATTACTGGGTGGGGGGCCCACCGTAGGTATTGGGCTCTCGGGGTAATGTAGAAGCCTAAAAAATTATCAATATCCTCGTCCCAGGCTCCTTGTATACTTATAAGTTATACCTGGACCCCAAAGTAGGTAAAATAATGGCCTTTATGGCTATTACTATGGGTTAAGGCTATTATTTGCATGCTTTTGGGGTTTAGGTACTACGGGATACCTCCAAAACACCACCGAATAAGGTTGTATGTATTTATGATCTGGGATACCTCAAATGAACTTTAGTCTAAACTCCTAGTATCACTCCTAATAACCCCGATAATAGTCCCCCATACTATAATCCCCTATGAGTTTAGACTATAGCTCAAATAAACCTCACAATACTGTTGGTAAGTATCCAGGCTGCTACCCCTAGCTACACATCTGCCTGCGAGCTGCAAGCGGAGAAGTCTGGGGGCCTTGAATCCCAAGCCGTCCATCCCACACCGTTAGGCTTTACGGTTTAGGGGTTTGGGGTTTAAGGGTTGAGGGTTTAGGGCTCAGGATTTGGGAGTTTAGGCTCTAGGGTTCAAGGGTTTAGGGTTCAGGGTTTAAGGCCTTCAATACACAAGCCGAAACTGAAGCTTTAAACCCTGAACCCCCGTAAGCTATCAAACGCTTAAACCCTGAACCCAAGATGAACTCCTCAACCCTAAACCCTCAACCCTAAACCCTAAAGGCCCTAAACCCTGAACTCCTCAACCCTAAAACCTAAACCCTAAACTCTTTCTACCCTTTATACCCTAAACCGTATTTATCATAAAACCCTAAACCCCTCAACCCCCAGACCTGGCCTGAGGTTCTCGAAGAGACCCAACAGCTTAGAGGATGTGTTTGCCATGAACACGCCGACCTCTCTGAAGCGCAGTTTAGGGCTTAGGATGTAGGCTTTTCGGGTTTAGGGTTTGGGGGGTTTATAGGGCTTAGGGTTTTAGTCATGGTGTCTAGAGTTTAGAGTTCAGAGTACATATGGCAGGTAAGGGTTTGGGGGCGATTAGGGTTGAGGGTTTGTATGGCTTGGGGGATTAAACCCTAAACCCTAAACCGGTAGCAGCCTGATAGCAGGACCTCTGAAACCCTTGCTTCAAGGGTTCCTGTGTGCTACCCCTAAGGTTGTACCGCTTCCCAGATATGGCCCTAGTATAGCCCTTAGGTGAGCCCCTGTAGCCCTTAGGGTCCCCATCAATGATCTCAAAACTCAGGGGTACAAGCCTGAAGCCTCTTGATTTCATGTACCAGTCTCGGCCAGCAAGCAAGGACCCCGGCACTCCAAGAACTTTTTGCTGAAACTGAGGCGTGTCAGGCGGACAAGCGCAACGCGAGGTGAACCTCAAGAAAGGCCATCCAGCAAGGCCAAAGCTGGGAAAAGCGATAAGCTGGAGTCAATGATCAGCAAAGCAGAAAGAAAATGCGGAGCTCGGCCATCACCAGCGGGAAGCCCCATAGCCCTGGCCCCACCAGCTGCCCCAGAGCCGAAGTTGATGGAGCTGAGGTCGAAGTAGGAGAGCTGGAGCCTCCCCTGAAGTTACCTGCTGGCCCGAAGCAGGAGGATCTTGGGGAGTGGTGCCGCTTGAAGGTTCGATCTTCCGAAAGCCGGAACAAGCAGGAAATCCTGATATTGAACATGATTCATAAACATCATCAGGAAGCCCAGAGTACTAAGCCCACAAGGTCTGAGCGCTCAACCTACTGGAAGTTATAGGGTTGAGGGTTTAGGGTTAGGGTAAGTAGACCATGCCCCTTCAACCCTTAACCTTGAATGCTCACATGCCCATCACATATTTGGGGCAGTCTAAGGTTGAACGTGCCTAAACCTTGCATGTTAAACCCTAAACCCTAAAACCTAATCCCTGAACTCACTCTAAACCCTCATAGCCTGAGTACTCAAACCCTACACCCAACATCTCCGAAACCTTAACCCATGAGCCTCGAACACTTGAACCATAAACCCTAAACGCTAAGCACAACAGACTTCAAACCACATGTCCTACATCCCAAGCCCTACTCTTCCGAAGGAAATGGAACCCGAAAAGGGGACTTATGTGAACCACTCTCCTTTTTCACTAGGAGGCTTCCTTGCGTTCCATTTCAACTCAAGGGATTGTAGACTCCAATCTCTAAAATTCCCTAAATCAGGTTTCCCTAAGCGACAGACTTAGAGTTTACGCCCTAATCCTAGTCCGGGAGTACGGGTCTTGAGTCAGGGCATAAGGTTTAGGTTGAGTACTGCCCCCTCCCCTCAGTAGCAGTTGGAGAATAAGTATAATATGGCTATATATAGCCCTTCATAGGACCCCTAATATAGACTGTTACTGGGCGGGGGCAGTACCCAAAGTTTAGGGTTTAAGGTTGGGACTCCGCCGGACAACTTGGGCCTGGAAACCTGGCTTCCTAGACACTATGACCCTAGACCTTGGGCCCTAAACCCTAACCCTAAAACGTAAGCTTAGGATTTAGGGTTTAGGTTTAGGGTTTAGGGTTTTAGGATGTTTTAGGGTTTAGGGTTTAGGGACCCGAAGCCCTGAATCCCAAACCCTTAACTTCAGGCATCCGGTACGCCTCGGCAGCCCAAATCTCTCGCCTGCCTTCTGCCACCATGGACATCAGACCTCTCATCTTGGGTTTAAGACAACAAGGGAAATATCAACTAATTACTCCAAAGTGCCACCCCGGGAATGCTTCAAATGTGGTAGTCTGGTTAGAGGATGAGGGCTTAAGGTTCAGAAATTGAAGATTTAAGATTTAGGATTTTGGGTGCAGGGTTCAGGGTTTAGGGTCTAGGATTTAGGCAGCACCACAATGACATACCCCCCCTCCCCTGCCTATTAGAAGGGGCTCCCCTTAGTAGGCCTGAAAAATGCCTTCCTGCACATCCTGCGCCAAATACACTCTCGGAAAAATCCGTTCGCGAAGATAGTGTTTCGGGTTTGGGGTTTAGCGGTTCAGGGTTTAGGGTCTAGGATTGGGGGTTTAGGGCTTGGGGTTTAAGGTTTAGGGCTTTAGACTTAGCGCTTAGAGCAACACATCTGGGGGTGGTACACAGATTATCTGGGGGGGTCCCTATTGGGACTCTAGGGGGATCACATAGAAAGCATGCTAGTATGTCACGACCCCTAACTACAAAGCCGCAGGGTTCAAGGTTGCACATGCGCCCTCGCAACACTACAAGGTCGGGGTCGTCCACCCTGAAACTGCGAGAACAAACAACTGTAGCCCAAACACGTATCAATGTATATATATATATATAAATATCAAGGAACGCTATACCACAACTAGTTATGCAAGCAACCTAGAACCAGAATGCTGAATGCTGGTAGTCATCGAGGCCATCAAAGCCGCCGTTTGGGCACCCTACACCCTAAACCCCCTGTAGTAGCCTTTGACAGCTTTTGCTGGAAGTGCCTGCCAATATGTCGGTCCGATCTCGGCCAAGATGGCGTACGAAGGACCACCGAAACCTTCCCATGTTAGGGCTGCTAGGGATAGGGTTTTGGTTTTCAGGGTTGGTTGGCATACCCCAGCTTGTTTTTCTCATTGTTCTCAACCGGATCCTACACATGTAAGCGGACGACTGTAATCTCAGCATCTAGAACCCACGAAGGTCGCGGCTTGCAAGGAGGCGCCTGTTTGAAACATACGCATGGCAGGCATTGCTTCCTGGATGTGTTTGAACAAACGGTGCCGGTGTCATACATCCAAATGCTACCACGGTAAGTACACCCTGAACCCTAGTTTCGACAAAAACCTTCTCTCCATCTTTTGCGAAAGGGGATTGGGCTCACAGCCTTCAGTTCCAGAATGGTAAATAGTACGGGGTCTCAGATACATGTGGGATTCCTCCAAGTGGGGGGCCCTCAGAAATCCTAACCCTAACCTGAACCTTAAACTCTAAATCCTAAACCCTGAACCCTGAACCCTAGGGATGGATGGAGATTCTGCCGAGCTTCTGCGGGGTCCCTAAAACTGGTTTGGGATAAGCGTTTGGGGTTTAGGATTAGGGTTAAGGGTTAGGGCTTAGGGTTTAGGGCTTTAGGCTTTAGGGTTTATGGTGTAAGGCTTGGGTATCAGAACTGGGTGGGATAGATCACGCAGGCTCTACAAATGGATCCGGCCAATGCGAAACATGATCCATGCTTGAGGGGTTGCGGGTTCGTGGGCTGATACAAGCTGGCTTGTTAGTCACCTGCTGATACCCAACCCCAAAACCCCTAAACCTAAACCCTAAACCCTAAACCCTAAAACCCTAAACCCTACTGTAGATCCCTGAACCCTAAACACTATAAACCCTAAACCCCTAAAACCCTAAACCCTAAGCCACAAACTCTGAACCCTAAACCTTAAACCCTAAACCTTCATTTTAAACATACACTCCAAGCTCGAGGATCCCTGTTT